GGCAGCCTCTGGGGAGCGGCGGCGGCAGGGGCTAGATCGGGCCCCTCCCCGATCCAATCCAGCGAGAGAAGGGGGAGGTGAACGAGAGAGAGTGGGGGGCATGGGTGCGTGGGGATGGTTAGGTCACGGGGGGTGAGGGATATGGGGAGTGGGGATGGCCGGCCTGTGGGTGGCCTGGTAGCCCTTTTGGGCCGAAAGGCCCAGGGGAGGGGGTGTCTCTCTCTTCGTTCTTTTTTTATTTTGTTTTTACTTTTTACTTATTTTTCTTTATAGTTTTATTTTATTTTTAGTTATGTAAATTAAAATAATTGCACCTAAATCAGTAATACTAATTATAACACTGCCACAAAATGTTTAACCCCCAAATAAATTACTTTAGTATTTGACAAAATAACAAAGACATTTAAATAATTGTTTTTGCTGTTGTTTAAATCACTTTAGTGCATTTATATATTTTATGAAAATGTGTTTTCTATGCCATAATTACCTATGCATTATTTGGCTCACCCTGAACATTTTAGATTTTTCATTTGAAAAACTTTTATCGTTTTGCTTGATTGTGTTTTGAATTCGAACCAGTTTCGAACTAACGCAAGATTAGCAACAGTAATTGAGGTGACGTGACATCATTAATAGAGGTTTATTGTAGCTTGATTATCCGGACGTCACATCACTTGATCCCTCTTGGTACATCTTCTATGCTTTGTGTGTTGATCAACTTGATTCACTCTTTGACTTAGTCTTGATCAACCTCTCGCATGACCAATCTTTAGGTAATTCCTTAAATAGCACCTTGGTCATTGCAAACTCTCCTTGAAACCAACAAATGGACTCCAAGAAAAACCTATGAACAAATCCTTCAAATATAACTCAAGGCAACTATTAGTCTATAGAGATTGTCATTAATTATCAAAATCAAACATGGGGGCACCGCATGTTTCTTCACATAGATACAGGGAGAGGGGCCTCATGTAAGCCCCATGGGATCACCGACAGTAAAGCTATATCGGGCATTGCATATGTTACTTGGGAGAAGAAAATAACAATTATTTTCTATCTCATAACCTAAAATAAAGAAAGTGACGTGACAACGGCGCACACTACCTTCTAGTCGCTACGATAACAAGATTAATGATTCTAAGCATCATAGAGATTGCAAGGATGTATGTACTTGTAATGAGCGGACATATGTTTCATGATAAAATTATGCGAAAAGGCGACTAAATTTAACTCAAACCGATCGTATGTTATTTCCATACTTAAATACGCAATGCACATTTGTTTTTCGACAATGTAAAGCAGGAGCTCTATCAATTTCGTTAATTAAGATAGAAAAGAAATCAAGTACAAAGGTTATTTACATGAGAGTAGCTACTTCTATAAACTACATGATGGGCAGCATGGCCACGACCAACCTTTGCTTTCCAATGTCCTCCTTTACAAGAAAAGCAATATCTACCACGACGGAGGAGGAGTTCTAAAAACTAGGATGGTTACGCTCTTTTTACACGTGCCCCCGCACGATTCCACTTTCATATATTCATCGACGTCGCCTGAAAATTTAATAGTCTTGTGAAGTCGCAGTTAACTGATACTTGGTTAAGTTTCAGTACTTGTGAGATCTTACATTAAGATCCGTGCAATTTTTTTAGTTTATTATTATTATTATATGTTATATCATTTGATTGAGACTTAAGTCTCGGTCCACTTAAACCTAGACGCATCCAAAATTTATGGGTAAGTTGATGTTCTTAACCGTTAGACTAAGATCTAACTGACCTCGGAAAAAAATTAAGATCCAACAGCCATTCTTCTTTTTCTTCCTTCTACATTTCTCTTTCCATAAATTTAATTTACCCAAATTACAAATTCAGTCAACTATCGTGATATTCACCACGGGAGCCATTTTCTTGCAAGCTTCCCTTGCTACCTGTTTCACGGGGAGCAGCATCCTGCCGACACGCAGCTCGATGAATATTCGACCTTTTTTGCCGGCGCACACGTCGCGGCCGTCGGCCCTTCACGCTGCTCGTCGACTCGTACGTCGATGGCAACCGAGTGCTCAGGAGACCTGCTTGGCTTGTGGCAGCAATGGCAGCCTTTCGGTGCGTCGCCGCCCGTCTTTCCAACGCTTTTAGTGGCAGCGTCCGGTGAAACGGCGGCGAGCTGAGACCTTCTCATCTCCAGCGACCTGGCGGTGGCGCGGCACGCCTCCTCCTTCCCGCGGCGTCTGCGCCCCTCCCCCAGCAGCAGCATGCTGTTGAGCACGACGAGCAGGCACGTCCCCACGTCGGCGAGGACCGCCGCCCACAGCACCGGGCGCCAGGCGACCGCGAGCGCGAGGACGGCGGCCTTGGCGGCGACCGAGGACACCATGTTGACGGCGATGGTCCGGCGGGCGCGCCTGCCGAGCCTCACGGCCTCGGGGACCCTGAGGATGTCGCTGGACATGAGCGTCGCGTGGCTGGTCTCCATGGCCGCGGCCGAGCCGGAGATGCCCATGGAGACGCCCACGTCCGCCGTCGCCAGCGCCGGGGCGTCGTTCATGCCGTCGCCGACCATCATCGTCGGCCCAGCCCTCGCCTTCAGCGCGCCCACCAGCCGGACCTTGTCCTCCGGGAAGAGCTCCGAGTGGAGCTCCTCGAGGGCGCCGCCCAGCCGCTCCTGCGCGTGCACCGCCGCCTCCGCGCTGTCCCCCGTGAGCAGTACTGAGCTGATGCCCATGGACGCCAGCTCTCGAATCGCTTCGGCCGCGCCGGTCCGGCAGTCGTCGGAGAGCGAGAACACCCCGACGAGGTCCCCGTCGCAGATCACGTAGCCGATCGAGACGCCCTTCAGACCATTCATTCTTTCTGGAACTGCAAGCAAGAAAATTTTCTTCTCAAACTTCATTGACCAAGCAAAGCACCAAATGTATGTTTGCTCTGCTCTCAGCTCACCTGTCTGACAGGAGGATCCCCTCGCCAAGACCCTCTTGTTCCCGACGTAGATGCGCTTCCCGTCGATCTCTCCGTAGACGCCCTCGCCGGGAAGGATGCGGAACTCGGCGACGCATTCCGGTTTCGGCTGGATGGATTTCGACTGCGCGTGCTCCACGAGCGCAGCCGCCATTGGGTGGCTGGATTTGCTCTCGATGCTTGAGATCCTGCCAAAGAAGCTCCCATTTCAACACGAGTTTTCATCGGTGAAAATTTCAATGCTCAGAGGTGAACATACCAGTAAAGAAGATGGCTCATCTGAACCTTCTGTTCGACCACATCGAACATGTCGACGGTGAACTCCCCTCTGGTGATGGTGCCGGTCTTGTCGAACGCCACGGCCCTGATCTCGCCCAGCGACTCGAGGACGTCCCCTCCCTTGACGAGGACCCCCATCCGCGCCGCCGTCAGGAGCGCGCAGAACGTCGCGACGGGCGTCGACAGCACCAGCGCGCACGGGCACGCGCTCACCAGCAGCACCAGCGCCAGCCTGAACCACCGCTCCGCGTCGCGCGCCCCCAGCAGCGGCGGCAGCAGCGCCACCCCTGCTCCGAGAACCACCACGGCCGGCGTGTAGTACTTGGCGCAGGAGTCGATCAGCCGCTGCGTCTTGGACTTGCTCTGCTGGGCCTCCTCCACCAGCCTCTCCATCTTGGCCACCGTGGAGTTCTCGGCGAGAGCCATTGTTCTCACGGCGATGTAACCTGCATGACAGTAGGCTCAGATCACCGCAAGAACGTCGCTGCCTTCAAGGAGAAGAAACAATCCAGTTTTGGTACCGTCCAAGTTGAGCGTGCCGGCCCAGACCTCGGACTGCGGTTGCTTGGGCACCGGGTACGACTCGCCGGTGAGGCTCCTCTCGTCGACCTCACTCTGCCCGTCGACCACCACGCCGTCCACCGGCACCATCTCCCCTGCTCTGACCGCGATGACGACGCCCACACCGATGTCGCGAACGTTGACGACCTCGCCCGTCTCGGCGAGGACTGCCTTCGGCGGGATCATGCTCATCAACGACGACATCCCGGCGCTGGCCTGACACCACATCACACTTTGTGTTAGGAAAATTCATATTGATTCCTTCGATTCGATCATGGAAAGTAATTTAGGATCCACACTGTAATTGTATTACCTTGGTGCAGGCCAGGGTCTCGAGCCACTCTGCGGTGGTGAAGAGGAAGACGATGACGCCTGCCTCCGTGTAGTCCTTGAGGGCGACGGCACCGGCGACGGCGATAAGCATGAGGATGTTGATGTCCAGCGCGAGCCTGCTGGCGGCGGCGAGCCCTCGGAGGACCATCGGGGGAGCGCCGGCGCAGGCCGCCCCCAGGGCCAGCCACTGCAGGGGAAGCAGGAGCCACCTGAAGGAGGACGCGAGGAGGAGGGCGCCGCAGGCGACGATGTACGGGCTGGGCCGTCGGCCGATGAACCCGCTGCTGCCGTACGCTCGCACCGAGGCTTCCAGGCCCGCCCCGTTGAGGACCTTCACTGGTGCGTTTCGGAGTCCGGACAAGGCAACAAACACGTTGAGATCGACTTGTAATTAAGCTTTATTTCATGGAGATTTTGGGTTCAGATCAGGGTAAGTAAGGTCAGGAGAGGGGACGGATTGATTGGTTACCAATACGGGACTGCGAGACGGCGGCGGGGTCGTGCTCGACGACGACGGTGCGGGAGGGGACGACGACGGCCACCGCCCTCACGCCGTCGAGCGGCGCCAGCAGCCGCTCGACGAGCGCGACCTCCGCGGAGCAGCACACGCCCAGCACGTCCAGGTACGTCTTCTCCCACTGCCTCCTCGCCGCCGCTTCCTCTGCCAGCAGGCTCGCCTCGAGCGCCGGGTACGACTCGCCGCCGCCCATCATCGATGATCCAGAGACGCGGGCGGATGAAGATGAACAGCAAGAAACGAAGCCAAAGGAGAGATTGCAAATAAGTCAACGACAGAGCCAGGGATCGATGGTTTGGAAGAGGAGCAGAGGTTGAGCTACAAAATGCACGCAATCCTGCGTCAGTGAAAGCGACGGCGGGCACTGACAGAAACAAGTCTTGGAATTTGGTGAACTCAAATCCGGCAAAGCATCGATTGTTCCACGAGTTCAGGGTGAGAGGACAAGCTCCACAATGCACCAAGCGCACCGGCCAACACCGCACACCCAACATAAAATGCACCGGAGCCCGCATATCTTGTAAGCTACTAACGGCAAGACGAATCAAATGGACGGCCTCAAATGTGTGCCCTTGAAATTCTCTACCTACTATCATTAGTTTTTTTTTAACACAGTACAGACGCAAGCGCTCATATATGTGTGCATACACTCATTTCTATAAACGCACACACGCACATCCTACTCCTATGAGCACCTCTAAAAGACTGAGCCGACATATCATCTTGAAATTTACGAAGCTATCTATCATTAGTTGATTAGTACTAGTTCTCCCCGATTGGTCATGAAACTTTACATAATTTTGGACCATTTATGCTTTTCTAAACATTGGTTCACATATTGTTTGTTTCTATGGCTAGGGCTATCGATGGGCTGAATGTCATGTTTCGAGCTATCAGCGGATTGTAACGATACATAACTAATTGTTAGAAATAATAATAAGAAGAAGAAGAACGAATTTATTGATGATTTAGAATTTCCTGTTTATAGTTTCTTAACAAATTTAACAACCATCACCACCCGCGCGCGTCAACCCATGGTGGCCCTTATTATTCCTCGGAGGCATAGCTCCCTCGTATTGCCCCTCTGCCCAGTTGGACAGGGCAGGCAACGGTTTGAGTATACTACTCTCTTCGTCTCAAAATTCGTGTCTTACATTTGTCTAGATACGGATGTATCTAATACTAAAATATGACTTGGTACATCCGTATTTAGACAAATCCAAGACAAAAATTTTGGGACGGAGGGAGTATATACCATGTTTTTTGTGAGCCCTATTGGGTTTTCATCCATATACCTGTGGCGTGGGCTGTCCTAGATAGATCCCTAGTTCATGCAGAGTAGAATGATTTTGTCGGTTTCTGGT